ATCAAAAAGAATAAATCTAATGTGCAAGCATGCATAGATGCATCCTGACAAAGTCCACTTTCAGCATAATGTGACAAGTCAAATATACTTCACACTTGTATGATTTTGTCTTATTTTCTATAAAGTCATAGAAGCACAATACCTTCTATACACAATACTAACACCTTGCTTGTCCATGTGTTCATTTTTCCTCCCCACAAAAAGCAGTCTATTTCTGCTTTTTTTTTCCTGGATTCAAACCTTTATCACCCAAAATAGCCATACTAGCCCACCCAGCAGAAGAGCAATCAAAAGACTGCCCAGTGCTCTGATTTGTCCTAGTAGGTATCTGCAGTAAACCAACCACAAATGACCAACAGAAACAATATCTGAAGACGCTGGCAAAGGTCAGCTAGTTGTAAATTGTTTAAAATGATAGTCAATGACATGGAATTTTGAAAGCGACACTTCAATTAGAGCAGGGGTATTGCCTTCCACGCGCTCTTTAACACCAACTAGTATCACAAAGCACATATATAAGAATAAATTTTTCTCGGTAATCTTTGATTCCACACTTGCTAAGTATGTCTGTGCTACTCTATCCCAGATGACTTGTTTTTAGCATGTTAGCCCATTGGTATTTAAAATCCCCTTGAGCTGTGTAAGGAAAGAATGCTTAAGAGAACAACAGGTAATGAGAGTGATGAAAACAGACACTGTACCTAACTGGTGAGATCTTCCATCCCCTAGTGGGTGTTTCTGGTACCGAGGGACACTGAATGGAGGCAGGAGATGAAACTTTTTCTCCAGCAATGGTTCAAGTCTGCAGGCAGAGGGGTCAGCAGAGTGAAAGAAACTGTACACTTGGCTGCAGGCTGGTCGGACCTGGCATACTTGGATGAGAATCAGACAGAGAAAGAGAGTTCAGTATTCCCCCTTCACAATTTTCAAGGAGTCTACATAGAAACATGGTTAATACCGTCTCGTGCAAACTCCAGATTAGCATACATCTGGCCAGAAGAAACTTAACTGTTTCCTATTTCATAAGTAAAGAACACATGAGTTTACAGAGACATCACAACCTGAGACGCAGGCATGTAGCAGATGTGAAGACCAGCCAGAGAAACAGACAGAAGCGAGGAAGGAAAAGAAGTTTAAAAATCTCGTAAATATGTTATTGAGCACTCCAGCTGTGATGCTCAGCACTCTTAAAATATTTACCAGCAAAATGGTTTGATGGGCCTGTGACATTCATGGGACTAAAACCTAGGTGACAGCAGAAACAGGCAGGTGACAGAAAGCACCTGGGGGGAAAGAAGGGCTATTGGCTAGAACAAAAAAATGTGGAGTCCTGAAATGTTATCTCTTCTCACTATTGCAACTGATATTTATCTCTCACCTGATAAATGCATGTACCATTTCTTATGAATATGCTGTGCTATCCAAAGTGCATTCCATGCAAAGAGGCAGAGCACACACTGAATACTGAACATAAAGTAAGCTTTTACTTTAACTGAAAAACTGAAAAAATCCAGAACAAAGAAATCCTCCATGTGTCTGATCCCTAGGCTTCTCACTGGCTCACAAGCAACACACCTGGGGGCCAAATTCACCCATGGAGCCAGACATGAACAAGAGCGACTGCTG